GTGTAATTGGAGCAGTGCTATTGCAAGAAGACGATGAAGGAGATGCACATCCAATAGTCTATACAAGTCGAAGTCTTATCAAATAGCGAGAACAACTCGGAGAACGATTATTCAATAAGCTTAGAGCTATTAGGTGTAGTATGGGCCATAAGCTATCTAAGACATTTAATCTACGTTAGACCAGTGAAAATTATAACAGACCACCACGCACTATACTGAATGGATTCTATCAAGGAGAGTAACAGACGTCTAGCCAGATGGGGATTGAAGTTGGCAGAGTTCTAGTACACGGTTGAATTCAAAAAAGGCTCAACCCACAAGGGTGCCGATTGCATCTCTTGCAACCCGATTCACAGAAAAGAGAGGAACAAGAGGAACTACCAACATTTGCGATAAGAACAATGGAAATGGGTTCCGTACAGAAAAGAGACCCAGAGTTGAGACAGATCAGGAAGGCAGTAGAAAACTCGGACGTCAATTATTAACATCGGAGCTAGGGGAAGAGCAAAACATTTTAGAATCGACAATCGAGAATGATCTACTATACAAAGTGAACAAAACACAAAAAGGCCTCAGCAAGGTACTGGTGGTACCAAAATCAATGAGGGAGGAGATTCGGTGGGAACTGCACGCGTCACCGATATGCGACTAATCAGGGTTGAGCAAAACAACAGACAAAATACAGAACAGGTTCTTCGGGGACGGAATGCTAAAAGACATCGAGAAATACGTTAAAGGGTGTCTAGATTGTCAGGCGAGGAAGGGCCAACCATACAGAAAGATCCCGGGCCTCTTACAACCAATACAAGTAGGCATGATATGTGACAAAATTGGCATTGATTTACTAGGCCCATACAGAAGAAGCAACCAAGAAAAAACAATGATAGTAGTAGTAACAGACTATGCATCAAGATACGCAAACACAGCAGAACTGCCTAATGGAAAAGCAGGAGCAGTAGCGAAATTTTCAATGTTTCGGCTGTTGACCAACCGTTGCTTGGTTGTGATTCGCATCATCCAGCATTGCAGTTCCTTGTTAGTTTGAATCCTCCAAGTGAAGTCATGCAATATGATTTTGAATATTTTAATTTCAGGCTAGCAAATTTCATTGATATAAATATGTACTTATCACATGTAGACTGGAATTTTATATATAATAATGATGATATTAATGTAGTAGTCGAATTGTTCTATAATGTACTAAATGTGGCAATTGAATTGTTTGTTCCAAGACGTAGGGCTAAAAACCTAAAATTTCCCACTTGGTTTAGTGATGATTTAAAGAAACATGTTTTGATGAAGAAGGTTGCGCATAAATCTTACAAACAGTCCAACTCATTAGTCGACTATCAGAATTTCTCAAACCTTAGGCAAAAATGCAAAGAACTAGTAAAAGATAGCCATATTAATTATATAAATGAACTCGAGAATAATATTCAATCCAAAAGGGACTTTTGGAGATATGTAAATTCCAAAAAGGATAGTACTGAACTGCCTAAATATATGTTTTATGGTGAGGAGAAATCGGACTGCCCTCAAAAAATTGCTAATTTATTTGCGCAACATTTCTCGTTGGCATATGTAAATCATAGAGAGAAATACATTGATTTCCAGTATTCTAACACTGTAGATTTGTTTTTTTGTAATATAAGTTTGATGGATGTATTTAATTGTATAGGTAATTTGGATGATGGTTTGGGATGCGGGCCAGATAGCATTCCAGTTTACTTTCTAAAAAATTCTAAATGTGTTTTGTCTGAAGTTCTTGTCAGAATATATAATAAGTCATTGTCAAAGGGTATTTTTCCTGAAAAATGGAAGGAAAGTTTTCTTACGCCTATTTTTAAAGCTGGCAATAAAGCAGACATATCAAACTATCGCCCAATAAGTAAATTGTCGGTTATTCCAAAGGTTTTTGAGTGTATTGTGACTGAAAAAATCTCCCCATGCTTTAGAAATGTTCTCTCGACTGCTCAACATGGATTCATTAAAGGAAAATCAACTATTTCTAACCTCTTATTATATCAAGATAATCTTGTTAATGCTGTAGAATTGGGAACTCAAGTAGATTCCATCAGCACTGACTTCAGTAAGGCTTTTGATAAGGTTAATATATCTATACTTACAAAAAAATTAGAGGCCTTGGGCATTCGGGGGACTTTTTTGGCATGGATAAATAGCTTTCTGGGCGGTAGAGTACAATACGTCAGAATTAAAATTTTTATTTCATTTCCAATAAATGTTGTATCTGGTGTTCCTCAAGGAGGACATCTTTCTCCCTTGCTATTTAATTGCTATATTAATGATGTTGAAGATTTTATCCATCACAGTGACATATTGTTGTATGCAGACGATTTGAAGTTGTATAGGCCTGTTAAGTGCATATCAGACTGTAAGCAGTTACAACTAGACCTGAATTGTTTTGCTCTGTGGTGTCACCTGAATGACCTAATCCTTAATTTAAATAAATGTAAAACCATAACCTTTTCTAAATCTCATGCATCAATTTTTTATGAATACAAATTAAATGATCAAGTAGTTGAAAGAGTGGACTCTATTAAGGATTTGGGAGTTACATTTAGACAGGACCTAACATTTAACTTACATATTGAGAATATTTGTAATAGGGCAATGAAACTTTTGGGATTTGTATTTCGCACCCTCAAAGATTTTAATAATATTTTTACTATAAGGAGCGTTTACTGTTCTGTAGTGAGATCCCTTTTGGAATATGCTACCCCAATTTGGTCACCACATTATGGGGTCCATATAAATTGTGTTGAGAGAGTTCAGAAACGGTTTCTAAGGTATATTGCCTATAAGATGCATATACCATCAGAAGAGGTCTGCTACAATGACCTGTTGCGGTTGCTGGGTCTTTCTAGTTTAGAGGCACGTAGAAGGAATTATGATATTTGTTTACTTTTCAAGTTGCTTAATAACTTAATTGACTGTCCCCCTTTGTTGAACAGCATTTCCCTGCGTGCCCCTGTGAGACAGACTAGGCAAGTGCATCTTTTTCATAGCGAGTATCATAGGACTAATTATGGTTTTTTCTGCCCTATGGCTAGAATATGCAGAGAAGCTAATCAGCTACCCAACAATTTTGATTTTTTTGGCATGTCTCTGAAAACTTGTAAACATTTGTTAAATAGTCTGCAGCGCTAAATGTCAGTGTATTTATATGTACCGTAAATGTTAAATTTTAAGTTCTTGTGTTTTTCATTAATATTATAACGTCATATATTTTTGTATTATGTTATTTACTGTAAATGGCTTGTCCGTTAATAAAGTTTATTTATTTTTACTATAGAAAGTATTTCTAATACACGGGATACCACGACACGTACTGAGTGATAGAGGATAACTCTTCCAGTCAGAGTTAGTGCGGGAAATAGAGAATATAATGGGAGTAAAGTCTATACGAAGTCACTTGGACTAATAGAAAAAATTTTGGTTTCCTTGCAGGTTACTGGTGCGACTGAAACCATAAACAGCACTTTTTAATTATAAACTTTTTTTTTTTCATGTAAGCAAATAAAAACGACCAGTCAGGAACGGACCAAACCAATGAACAAGAATTTGTCAACCACAAACCTGAACAAGGATTGTCCACTTCAAACGTTGAACCAGAATTAGCTCTGAACTGAGTAGGGACAATAGTTTCTGAACCTATTGCAATAGGCATAATGGCATAATGAACAAATCAAACGAATTAAAGTACTACTCCACAACACTGACAAGACTAAGGGTACCATAAACCAGGCAACAGACACTTAAACCATGGGACCGTATACACCCCACGACCTAGCTGACCAATCCGCCAAGAGAAAGAATTTGGAGACACGGAACTGGAACGCGAAATCTAATCCAACCCACATGGTGAAGAAGGATACACAGAATCGGACCCATTTCAAGAAAAACCCCAAGGCTAAAGCTACGAACCTATTATTATTATTTTTTTTGAATTCATCGTTTTTTTTGACTGAATAAAAATGCACACGTTCCCATCCCCTAATTTTTATAGATGTTGTATGTATAAATCTCGTTATATATTTTTAGATTTAAGTATTTTTTATTGAATTTGTGATGGTGGCTCTTCTATAGCATTGGGGTTCAATTTCAGACAGGAAGCATATGTCAACATGCAAAGCTACTTAGGAAAATATGACACTGTATATGATTGACCGATTTATTGATTGGCGAGTTAGGGATAAACGAATATAAATAGTGGTCGGCAACACACGGATAGGCAGACTTGAACTCTGGGTCTCAAGTGCAATTACTTCTTTTGGGAAAGCCCCTCTGGGTGTCTTCAGTCTTCGAGTCGTCCATGCAATGACCTCTTTTGGGAAAGCTTTGAGTTTTTCAGGTAGCTCCCCTGTGCCCCTATAGAAGAAGCACTCTGTACCATAGGGCCATCCTTTGGTAATTACTATTATAACCTTTACTCTACAATATACCTTAAGCTAAATACCAAGATCCTATGCTACATACCCCGTCACGAAAGGATAAAGTTGTGATAATATCTAAAAATAATAATTTAAAAGCCAAGTTCCTCGCCAACTTCAACTACAAATTTGGAAAAAAAGAAAGGCATATTTTGTGAGACTGACACGTGTTGGGAAAAAATTTAAAAAATTCTATGATTTTGTTACCCACAGAATTAAAAAAAAAACTGATAAAAAATGTGCAAGTATCCTATAATTGTTCTTAATTATTGTCTAATAATATCTAAGTAAAATTTTCGATTTTAGGACCAAAACTACTGAAATCAGATGTAAAGTTTTTTGGTCTTTTCACTAGAGTTTTGAAAAATGGTAAAGTATTTTGGTCAAACGATCTTCCAAAACAAGAAAATCATTGTTGAAAATGTTGTTCAGTTAGCATAATTAATTTTCATGAAACAATAATTCCAAAGCAATTATGAAGAATCTTCTTTTAACACTGTAACACCATAATTACATAAAAATTCATAATCAACTCTCAAATAAACTTACCTTGTCCCTGTCGGCTATTATGTAAAGCATCCTGCAAGTCTTTGTATTCAGCTTCCTTTCTCGATTTCTCAATAACATCCTCATCCGATCCAGTAGTCAGTCTGGCGCATTCCGGCAAGTCACTCTCGGACAAAAACGAAGTTTCTGTGCCCGTGGTGCCAATACGAAGTACGTTTGCGTGCAAATCTATACAACATTGATGCCGCTTCAACATATCTAATCCTAGTAAATGAATTGATATATCATCTGAAAAAATATTTCTATAATAATTGTTACCTAACAACATGTCCATGGGTTGTTCTTCCAAAACGGAAAAACTGGTGGTCAAATAAACATTTTCGATTTGTATTTGTACCATGTGGATTCTTCCAATAATTTTTTGTACGCCCACTCCTTTTGCAATGCCTGCCCATCTGGTGTCAACTAATCGCATTATGTTACACCTTTCAGCGCATCTACTTGACATTATAGTAGTTTGAGCACCTAAAAATAGATATTTTAATAAAATCACCATTTAAAGTTAATATCATCACCGACCTGAATCAATAAATGCCTTTACAGGATACCCATTCACTCTACAATTAATGTAAAGCATAACGACAGTTCCGAAAGATTCCGGATTGTATTCCATGGCCGCCTCCATGTTGGCTTCGATATTTTTTTGTCTTATTTCTTCGGAAATGAGTCTTTGTGCTTCAGTGTCGAACGGATCAGAATTCATCATTCTCAGTCTTTGTTGTTCTCGTTCTTGTCGTGCCGAAACTTGTTCTCTTAGCACCGATGCGAATCTGTCTATAGTGGGGAAAAGAGAAGAAATGGTGAAATATTCGCACATAAAAAATTTAGTTTTTTACAATCTGAAACAAATTGATTGACTACGAATAACAGTAATAAGAAACTTACATCAAGAATTTTGGTTACTATAAAAGTTGGTAAAACTTTGATATCTGCTGTAGCAGCTTTGTTGGAAAAACAGTTTTTAAAAAGTTCGGAGCTACGTGCAAGAAGGCTACTAAAGAAACCAAAAATGTATCTGAATTCTTGGGATTTTCAACTAATTTTGGAGCTTCATAACATAATTTCGATCAAATTTGAAAACCAGTTGTCAGATATCACTGACAAAAGTCCATTTCTAAAGGTGTTAATCCACTTTTATTTTATATGAATTGGTTTCTGGTCACTAATTAAGTAAGAACCCAAAAACAATTTGCAATTTCAAATTAACCTTCAATAATTTGTTCTGCCAATCAACTTGCTTATGATGATTGCGAGAATAATTAAATTTGCTACTTACCAATATCGCCACTAAGCAAAGCATCCGCCAAACGGGGATTATTTTGCTTCAGTAACGCCAACTGATCGGGGTTGGCCATAAACATGCCCCTTATAAGAACAGGGTCGTCTTCTGTGTTGTTTCTATTACCTCTTGCAGTATTATTAGGATTACCAGGAACTTGGATATTGCTGAAGTCAAAGCTGGAAACTGTAAATTTAGCTGTTTAACATTTATTTTGTAGTAGGGATAAGTGCCCATGTAGAGTGAGCTACTTGTTGCCAGCAACAAAAATTTTACAGTCAACCACTTATGGTGATCGGTGATGATTGATTTTAATATGCAAAATCACAATGTATCTTCTATCAAATTTATTTATTTATTTATTTATTTTAAGGTACACCTTATTAACGCTCAAAGGGTAATAACAAATAAGGGTGGTTACTAAAACTAAAAACAGAAAGAACAAGAAAGAGTAACAGCTTACAGTAAAATTTAAATAACCTATAATAACACAACAATAGGTAAATATGTATAAAACTTATATTTTAGCTAAAATGAGAATGCATTAACATAAAATCGCTCTTATTGCATGCACAGATGTATTAAATATATCTATTCCTCTAAGAGTCAAAGTCGAATTACATTCACTCAACATGGCATTCATAGAACAACTGGTAGGGTAGGACACACATGAAAGGTATTGTAGGTGTTACATCTTAGATTTATTTTAGGAATATGATCGAGAATATGATATTCTGTAATATCGGGACACTATTTTTGGACTTTGTCTGTTTGTGTCCCTAAACCCTAAATAAATAAATTAATAATATAATACTAATAAATAAGCAGTCTTTAAATTTAATATTATGAATTATATCGAGAATTATATAAAATATGAAAATAATAGTTTGTGCACTTTTTCTAACTGAGAGTTGTTGCATTTCAAATATCCCTAGCATTTTTCAAATGCTTTTCATATTGCTAATGCTTTTTCAGAGTACATACTTTCAGTCCGTGTATGAAACATCAAGTGAGCCTATAACTTACGGACGATCTTACGGGGCTAGTACGGGGGCTACTTTGTTTAATTTTTCTGTAATAACAGCAGAGGATGTTATCAATAGTATTAAAAAATTATAACCAAAGAAATCTTCAGGAAATTACCAGATTCCAACCTATACAGGGTGTATATTTTAAGTGATACCACTATTGCTATATCCGAAACGGTAAGAGCTACAAGGTCAGTTAAATTATAAAAAAGTTGCCTTTTTTGATGCCCATTTAAGATTCGTTTACATTGTTGCCAAATTCCTTTTAGATTCTGAAATACAGGTTCATAACTAGGGCCGAATTGAGGTAAAATTTTGGTAAAAATCACTGATGATCACCTTTTAGATCAGAAACGTCGACCAATCATACTTAAGAGGTTATCGTTAATAAGGGAACAAAGGGTGCTTTCTAGAAATGACATAAAAAATCCAGGTGCGTATTTAAAAAAATTAAGTTGATGATGGTAGCTCAATCACGAAACGTCGGATTCAAAATTTGAAGATACCATATTGAATTCAATTTCTGTGCCACCATAGAAAAAGATCTCTCTTTAATAAGTCAATGGTGTGAAGCAAACAAACTCTGTTTTAATATAAAAAAAACAAATATCCTTACTTTTAAATGTGCTTTGACTGACATAAAACTAAGAGACGAGACCATTGAAAACAAATCAACAATAAAATTCTTAGGCATTCACATTGATACACATCTGAAATTTGATATTCATATAGACCAACTCACAAAAAAACTAGCCAAAGGATGTTACGTCATAAGAGTAGTTGCACGGGAACTTGGCAAACAAGCAGCAAGGGCGGCTTACTTCGCTCTGGTTGATGCACACATACAGTATGGGATAGCTTTCTGGGGTAACACAACAGACAGTCTGTTACATTCGGTGTTCGTTCTACAGAAAAGAGCTGTTCGTTGTATGTGCAAAAAAGGATACAGAGAATCATGCAGGTCCCTGTTTAGGCGGGAGGAAATACTAACGGTGTCATGCATTTTTATATTGGAGTCAGTCTGCTTGGTATACAAAAAATTCTTTGGTTATTCTTATGAAAGAAATTATAATTTTAGACACAATAACTTGCCATTGCCAATTCCAAAATCTACACTCACAAAAAAATCATTAATTTATGAAAACATCAAAATATTTAATCACTTGCCGCAAGATATTAAAATCATTGACAATTACAAATTATTTCGCACTACAGTTAAAAAAATTTTAGCAACCAAAGCATTCTATAACTTGACGGAATATTATCTTAACCGAATAACTTAGTAAATAACATAATTCGTTTAAACTTCAACTTCAACTAATAACACTGTTCGTGGTGAGTTTATTTGATAAAATGATCGACTTTTACTGCGCATATCTTGATCTTAAATGTGGTATTTTTTGTTCTATACTTTCTTTAAGGTTTCAGCCACTATGTGGGTTTCTAATTTGTTTTTGGGAACTTGCTATTTTATTCTATTTTATTTTATTTTAAGTTATTTTATTTTATTTTATTTGTTTAGTCTACTTAAGTATTGCATGATTTTAAAGTTTAATTGCTTACCTATTAGTAATAAGAATTGCTTTGTCAATGAAATATGTGTATTTTGAGACAATAAAGCTTATTGAGATTGAGATTGAGACCATATTGAAGAGCGAAAAAAATTATAAAACTTTCAAATTTAAATTGTGTCGAAAATTAATAGTTTTCGAAATAATTGATGAAATATTTTTAGGCGTTTTTTAGAACTCACCCTGTATTTCCTAAACTAAAAGGAATTTGGCAACACTGTAAAGGATTCTTGAATGGGCATCAAAAAAGGCAATTTTTTTCTAATTTAACCGACCCTGTAGCTTTTACCGTTTCAGATATAGCAATAGTGGTATCACTTAAAATATACACCCTATATTTACAAGGGCCTAGCTGAATATTTGGCAGAGCCCCTAGCATTTATTTTATGTAGGAAAGATGCTTCCAATTTATTATTTATTTAAAAATCCAATTTGTTACTGGTTATTGCTTTTTATTGCCGTTTGTAGAAAAAATATTGTATGATATTTGTGTTAAAAGTATTTTTAAGGCACTTATGTGAATTGCAGAATTCGCTTCGCTCATTCTGCAAACTTTCATATGCGTGCCTTAAAAATGTACTTTTAACACTTATATCATAAATAACTATTAAGTCAGGGAATTAATCAAATATACTTAAATATGTTCGAAAGAAAAAATGTCAAACTAAAACTTGTCAAAACAATGCCCGTAAAGGGCCCCATACACTATGATGAAACACGACGGTTTTCATCGCCACGATGAAACACGTCGTTTCAAAACCGAAGTGTGTGGTAGAAAACCGTCGTGTTTTTCTACCACACACTTTGGTTATGGCACGTTGTGTTTCATCGTGACGATGAAAACCGTCGTGTTTCATCGTAGTGTATGGGGCCCTTAATGTCATAGCGACAGGCGTACCAGGTGCGTACCAGCACCATCACGACCAACGTGGGAGATGCAGTGACGTCACTGTGTGTTTCAAATTTGGAGAGTTTTGATAATTTATTTAAATATGAACAAGGGCTCAGAAAATTATGAAATTTTGCATAACTGCTAAACTCAATACGCTCTTTTAGAATATGTAATAAAAAAAATATGCTGTACGAGCCTATTCAAATATGTTTATGAAAAATGTGAAAACGGCCTATTAGTGGTGAAATAACTCTGCCTTATTAGTAGGGAAATGTATTTTGTAGGTATCTGTTCCTCGATCTGTTCGTAACTTTTCAATCATTCCAAAGAAGATAATTTTTGATACCTATTTGGAAGTACCAGCTGTGTACTACACCATTTCCAAAAGTATTTCAAAATCGGTCAAATGTATTTCAAAATAATCACTTTTATTTAAAAAATTGATATTTTAATTTCCAATTAGTCACTTTTATTTCCAAATATGTCATTTGTATTTCAAATTAATCAAATGTATTTCAAACTGTACCATTTATACTTCCAAAAAATCAGATGTATTTCAAAATCATCATTTCTTATATAGAATAGAATAGAATAGAATAATATTTATTGCGTAATTTGTACAGTATAATATATAATAAATATAATACAAAAACAATACACAAAAGGCAACATTCGCTGAGGCGTTCTTCCATGATGCCCTGTCTCCTTGAACACTTTCATACTACTACACAGATTCCAGTAATTGGCTTTTATAAACCTTTTTAAAAATCACTAATGAATTATTAATTAACAAATCATAGATATTTGAGTTGAGTAATTCTACAGACAGAAATGCAAAACAACTAAATTTGGATGTTCGATGTAGCGGTATATTATATCTTACTGTATTTCTAAGATCCCTATTATGCAAGTCATTTCTAGGCACAATTAGAGACCAGAGATAACCAGGGCAATTACTCTTAAAAATCTTATAAAGAAAAACAGCAAAATGCAGAGAGACACGCGACTCAAACCTCAAGTGTTCATACTGCATGTAAATTGGGGTGATATGATCAAATTTACCAGTACAAGAGACAAATCGTAGACAAGAATTTTGCGCCCTTCATTCTTTTTCTAAAAATGACATAAAAAATCCAGGTCCGTATTTAAAAAAATGAAGTTGATGATGATAGCTCGATCACGAAACGTCGGATTTGAAATTTGAAGATCCCATGCTGTAGAGCAAAAAAAATTATAAAACTTTCAAATTTAAATGGTGTCTCGAATATCAATAGTTTTCGAAATAATTGATGAAATAATTTTAAGCGTTTTTTGGAAATCACCCTGTATTTCATGAACTGAAAGGAATTTCGCAACACTGTAAACAAATCTTGAATGGGCATCAGAAAAGGCAACTTTTTTCTAATTTAACCGACCTTGTAGCTCTTACCGTTTCGGATATAGCAATAGTGGATAGATGGATGGAAAAAATCTTTTGTAGTTCCAATTTTTAAATCTGGGGACAAAGGAAATGTCGGCAATTACCGTCCAGTTAGTATTCTTTCAGCTGTTCCTAAATTATTTGAGCATTGTGTTGAGATAAGACTAAAAAGGTTCTTTGAGAAGATAACAGTATCAGGGCAGCATGGTTTTACCTCTGGTCGTTCTGTTGATACTAGAGGTGGGCCAACCTGCGATTTTAATGGAGCTGTGACAAGACGTGACTGCTCCAGTCGAGTCACTGTGACAAATAGCAGTGATTTTTTGGAGCAGTTTTACCTTAGTTGGCGGCCGTACTGCTAATATTATGTTAATGCTACATCGCAACATGGCATAATCACAGTCCGCAGTTACGGCCGAGAGAGATGTTCTAGTTTTCAGCCTGCCCTCTGCAGTAGCAGTTTCTATTTGGCTTGACCGCGATGCGATTTATAATATTATATTATTAAATTTGCATCACAGCTCGAGTTTTGACCGCGCTGCATCGGTCGGAGCTTGAAGCGGGCAGTGACAAAATGTCACTGCTACTTGACTGGGACTGGAGCAGGCTGTGACTGTGACAGACAAGTAGCAGTGACAAAGTCACAGTTCGTGAAATCGCAACCCACCTCTAGTTGATACCAACCTGTTCTTATATACCAACTTTATTTCTACTGCTATGGTGGAAGGTGCTGAGGTTCATGCCATTTATATGAACTTCAGCAAAGCTTTTGATAGAGTGAGCCATGCTGTTTTGATATCAAAATTGAGAAAGTATGGTATTGCTGGGTCATTATTGGAATGGATGGAATCTTATTTATCGAATCGGTACCAACAAGTAAGGATAGAAGGTTATCTGTCTAATATATTTTTTGTCACATCAGGGGTTCCACAAGGGTCACATTTAGGTCCCCCTTTGTTTAATATCTTTATAAATGACATTTGTTCTTTCTTGGAAGTTGCATATTTATTATTTGCTGATGACCTAAAAATATATGCCAGGATTCTGTCACAACAAGATCAAGTTAAAATCCAGAATGATCTTAACAGGATAAACAGATGGTGTACTCTTAATAGCATGACTCTAAACACAGAAAAGTGTCAAGTTTTGCGGTTTAGTAGGCTTAAAAATAACTTCCCTATGACTTACATGTTAGGTGGTAGTCTGTTAAAGGAGGTCTCTGTTGTGAAGGACCTGGGTGTGTATCTAGACACAAAATTAACATTTTCTGAGCATTATGAAAAAGTCATAGCCCGTGCGGGTAGAATGTTGGGATTTGTTAAAAGATCTTGTCAGGATTTTACAAATGTAAAGACACTTAAAATTCTTTTTGTTAGCTTTGTGAGATCTATCCTCGAGTTTTCTAACATAATTTGGTCACCATTTTTTAATATATACATAGATCGCCTTGAGAGCATTCAGCGTAAGTTTATTAAATTTGTACGTTACAAACTGAGTAGAAAGGGTATTTTTTTATCAGTGGAAGATACATATAAGTATTTGCAATTGAATTTTCTTAGGGACAGAAGGGAGTATTATGATGTATGTTTTGCATTTAATGTTATCAATAATTATATTTGTAGCCCAGAATGTCTTTCAGTAATAAAATTTCATGTTCCTGGTTACATAACTCGTAATGCTCCACTATTACAAGTCCCACCGAGTCGTACTCTGTATTTTATGTATAATCCAGTAAACCGTATTAGCAGAAATGTAAATAAATTTTGCCATCAACTTGACTTCTTTACTGTTTCAAAAGATAGATTTAAGACTTCTGCCAAGAAGGCAATTTTAGGTTAAGAAATATTTGTATTTAATCTTGTAAATGTGAATGCTTAAATAAATAAATAAATAAATAAATAAAGTAGGTATTTAGCTGAAAAAAATTTGTTGCTGGCTCCTTGTCGCTAGCAAAAGGAGCCCACTTCACGGATATGAAGGGCCAAATTATGGACCAACTGGTAAGTGTCTGGTTGTTACCTAGCAGGTACTTTTTATTCTCTAGTGCATAGAAAATACCTGGTAGGTAACAACAACCAGACGTTTACCAGTCAGTCCATAATTTGGCCCTTAAACCTATAAAGTTGTTACCTGAGGAATTTGAAGTATTTTGTTCAACATTTGTCTGAGATGTGGATAGCATGTGTTGCAGGATAACGGCGTCTCCGTCCCGAACGCCCAGAGCCTTAAGAGACTTTCTATTGTCCATCAAAGGCATGCCGTTGAATGCGATCGCAATTTCCGAGGCTGGAAACCCGGTTTCGATTTCACAAAACGCTTTGAAGTTTTCCAGTTCCAAGTCTTCCGAGACGTCCAAGACGAAAATAAAATCGGTGAGGGTGGTCACTGTTACCTTCATTGTAATCAATTTTTGATTGTCCGAAAAATGTTTGTTGTCTTCGACAAAACTGCCAATCACTGCTGGCTGGTTTTCGTATGCTGCATTCTTTCGCCTTCAATTTATCTTTCTTTATCTCGATTTTTAAAAACAGGACGAAAATAAACTCCGACTATTTATAGCTGCAATTATTTTTCACAAAGGAAAAGTTCACTTTTAATTTTAAGCTTTGTTTTTTGGTTGTCAAAAAATATTAGAAAACAAATGCAAAAATGCAAGTAATTTGTCACATCACATCAGTCAAATGGAGTTCGGCGTTCGGCTTTCTTACTCCACCTACTCCGAATGTTCGGATTTGGCTTTTTAGTGCAGAGTGCATAGAAAATGGAGCTCACTCCAAACGATCCGCCCCGGATCGAGTGGATAAAAGGGTGCAAGCTTGTTTGTTTATGTTGTTAAATTAATTTATTTTTACTTTTGTACATCATATATAATCAGTTTCCAGTTATTCATTAACTTGGAAAAAAGGCAAACATCAGATTATTTATTATCAAAAATATCCATCCGCGTGTGGTGGGTTGGGCTTGCTCACTCCGTGCACTCTCAGTGACTCCATTCGCAATCCAGCCGTTCGGGTTAAGGTTCGGGTATTGCTTTTTACCGTATTAGGGGTGACTCCATTAGCTCTGTTCACTCCAGTCCAACTCCGCGCTGAATAGCCGAACCCAGCTCATGTTATTATGTAGCTATTTCAAACTATTTTTAATGTAAACACTAACATACTGCATAGTTTAGTTTTGCAATTCTAGGAGTGTTTAGTGTGCGCAAATTTTTATGGGTGATGTATGTACACCTGCTAAATTGGTTTAAAGTTACGTGGCAACCTTGTCTACTATCCTTGAAGAGACAGACTATTTTTCGTTTAAGGCCGAGTTCGGCTTTGCACTCTACGGAGCGAAACGGTATGAACAGGGATATCGTGACGGTGACGTCATACGCAGAGTGCGCCCTGAAGTCTGTGTTTTTTTAAAAAATAAAAGTCAAAATGCCAATAGTTGTATTCCTTTCACACCTAGGAGGAGCTCCGGAACAGCTCCGGGGCTTCACGCGCTTATTCCTTTCGAAAAGTGTTTGTTGCACCACGCATATGTTCCCTGCAAATCGGGGGCGACTAAGCACCGAAGCGAGTAGCTCGAGTGTTTCAAGCTCTTGAAAGGAATACAACTATTATGTTGGCAATACAATGAAAAATTGTCAATGTTTTCAAATTTTTTATATGTAGAAAAGGCTTCAACATAGTCACTAAATTTTTGACTTGGGGAATTATCTTTAAAAAAGACAGACTTTAAGCCAAACACAGATCGAAACAAATCCTCAAACCCTTGCGCAGTCACTAAACTCAAAAAAAATTGTTTCGTTTTGATTTTATTCTACTAGTAAACCGTAGTAAACGAGTAGGTGAATTAGTAATGGACCTGAAATAAAAGTAGAAATCTAGGAAAATAACCGCGATAACTAATATCTCTGGTGCTCCTCCATACGTCTATCCATCCATCCATCCATCCATCCATCCATCCATCCATCCATCCATCCATCCATCCATCCATCCATCCATCCATCCATCCATCCATCCATCCATCCATCCATCCATCCAAAAGAGAGCAAGCTCAGGGTCAGAGTACGTGCATGATTGTAACCAAAACGCAAAAGAGAACACTCTGAGAGCTAAAACAAACAGGATCTTATCGTTTCGAGCGCGCTTGAACTGCTCGAAGTTTACCGAGTGTAAAGCCAGGGGCCTTATTCTGTAAAGAACAAACCGTTCGATTCGGTAGAATTTCTTCGATTGTGACGTCATTTTCGGTTTGCTAGCGCGGAAGCTATTCCGAAAATGACGTCACAATCGAAGAAATTCTACCGAATCGAACGGTTCGTTCTTTACAGAATAAGGCCCCAGTGCATGTGCAGAAGCTAGCTTCTGGATAGGAAATATAGGAATTGGCAAATTAGCTATCCAAGTGCTCCTAAATAGTCGAAAAAAAAACAGTCAGTCAGATTTTTTTTACAACCAGGAATAGGAATAGGTACTAGGGGACTGCTGGTTTTACGTGTACTTAGGTGGAGAACTTGCAGCGAATCTGATGACAGTGGCTAGAATGTTGAATTGGATTTGGATGCTATTCGAGCAAGAACACTTATTGCTTATTGAGCTGAAAGTGTGTGCCATTTTAGCCGCAGGCCTCAACTCTTGACATAAAAATGTATAAGCCGAGTTTAAAACAGTATAGGTTAAAAAAACGAATTCCTAAACGTTATATACTTGTTAAAATCACCTTTTCTACATTTAAAATCCATGAAAAAACAAGCACAACCTGAATCGCAAGCATCCCATCGAGGCCTGCGGGTGACGTCACCACTATAAGAGGCTCCTAATAGTACCGACGTCACTCGCAGGCCTTGCCGACTCGAGAATTGGCGAACGTACGCCTTATGAGGATAAGCAATCTTATTAGGATTCTTGCTATTCAAGTGTTTCCAAATGGTCAAAAAAATCAGTTAATCATTAAACTAAATAGAGATTTTTTCTCATTATTAGGAAATGGAAATTGTTGGCTTCACGTTTACCTATACTTGATGGTCAGAAACTAAAATGTTTCTGGATAGGACTTAGGTGCTCCTAAATAGTCGAAGAAAAACTTGAATTAGTTATTTATTATTTAAATTACAGATTTTTTTTTGCATTATTAGGGAACTGAACTACTGGCCTTACGTTTACTTGGGGGTGTAGAGATTTGCAGCGAATCTGATAACAGTGGCTATAATCGTTAATGTTGTATTGAAATTAGGTGTTATCTAAGTGCTCCTGAATGGTCGAAGAAAAACTGCAACTTTTTAGGAGCACTTAAATAGCACCAAATTCCAATACAACAGCATTTTAGTCACAGTTATCAGATTCGCTGCAATGCAAGACATCCTCAAGTAAATTTAAAGCCAGCAATTCCTTAATAATGAAAAACAAAAATCTGTACCTACTTCAGTTAATAATTAACTGATTAAAGTTTTTCTTCAAATATAAGCACTTAAATAGCACTAATTCCTATCCATAAACATTTTAGCTCTGACACACCAGCAACTGAACGTGAAGCCAATAATTTGCCAATAATGAAAAAAAAACTATAAATCATTTAATAATTAACCGATTCAAGTGTTTCGTTGACAATTTGGGAGCACTTAAATAGTACCTAATTTCTATCCAGGAACATTTCAGCCTCTAACACACCACCATAAATAAACTTGAATCCAGGAATTTCATAATATTGAAAAAAAATCTGTAATTCAGTTAATAATTAACTGATTCAATTTTTTCTTTGACTATTTAGGAGCATTTTAAAAAGTATAGGTACCTATTATGTAAATTCTGATATCAAAGAAAAATTTAAAAAAATATTTTCACTACGGGGGACTGCGATAGGTATTTCATGTAAACCTAGCAATCCCTTCGTTTTTTTCTACAATGGGACTGCTAGGTTTATTGACCTAATATTCTGGAAAATCAATAAATAACCTCATACAATTTCAAATCTGGGGAGATACCTACTTTGGATAAGTATATGTATTATTAACTTTACATTTATAAATAATTTTACATGTCTGTATAGACTCTACGCTTTAATAATAAGTATATATTTCTAAAATCTTGGCTCTACTGTAGTTAATAAAAATAAAGTCCACAACCATTCAATACAAAAACATTTAATTTATTTTTATTTATCAGCATCAGCTGATTACACCAGAGGCGATTTCGGCAAGCTTTGGTACCCTGTTTGGTCTGTCAAATGCATACCAACCAATTTCGGATACGAAAATGATGTCGTCACCGTGACTTTGGTATCCTTTTTGGTCTGTCAAATAGGATACCGTGGTCAGCAGCACGGTTCTTCTATTTGGTATAGCGCTATCTACGTCTATTTTCGTTTTGTCCTGCTCTGGGAAATGTAAATAAATGGAAGTTCATTAGAATTTGAATAATAATTTGAAATTTTTAGCAAATATGTTTGTTTTTTCGCCTTCATCTTCCTGTTTTCTCGTATGTTTTGACTGCCAAATAATGTTTGACTATCATTTAAAAAATAACTTTGAACGACAGATATGGGGTAACTTTTTTGCTGAATGGATTATGGAATATGCTTTAAATTTACAGAAAACGCTGAGTTAGCCAATAGGTTACTCAAAGGTACTGTTTAGACAGTGCTGATTAGTGATTATAGATTTTAGTCAGTGCAGTCAGTACCTAGTCACTCCCAAAACTAGAAGAACAACACAAAGTTAGGTTAAGGCTCGTCTCTTCCTCTCTCATGACCTACCAAACGAATTCGGAACAAAATGGTATCTTACGTCATTACTATGACGTTGCAGGTACCAATTGGTTAACCAAATGGTATACCAACCAAAGCTTGCTGAAATCGCCTCAGATGTTCCGCGCGCCCGCCGCGTACACAAACCCTTCAACTACTCTTTGTACTCCTCCGCGATCATGTTAACTGACCCCGACCATAGCCGATCGCGTTCGTGAGTAGACCATTTGCGGATTAGCACAAATGCACAGTAGCACAAATGGAGCCATCTCTTGCGGATTAGCACAAATGCACAGTAGCACAAATGGAGCCATCTCGTTTATAAGTATATCAATTTATTTTAAACGATTAATTAATATTAGTCAGTATTTGGTTTCTTCACTTGTGAAAAGTGAAGGTAAATGCTCACAAAATTTTGAAATATAATACCCGCCCTTAGCCAAATAACTTGTCGCAGGTATAAGGTCCCAGATTTTTATAGATATATTTGGGAGCGGAATATAATATAAATATTGATGGGGGGAAGCAGATGTTTTCGTGCATAATAGAGCAAGCGACGCAGCACAAGGTGATGCCGCACAAGGTCACTGAGAGCAGATCTCCTGTTTTAACAGGAGAACTCCTGTTTTCACTCTCAACCTCCTGTTCTACTGTTTTCACCGTGAAATCTACTGTTTTCAGCCTCAATGTCTATTTTTCTACTTTTTTCTATGAAATCTCCAGTTGATTTCAGTAATTTTCCCTATTAGACTGCGCATGAAAGAAAAGAATAACGATATACTCCAACTGTACGCCATTTTTTTGTTTGTTGTTCTGATTGGATCGGCTTGGTTCGCCATGACTCTAATCAGTCAAGACATTGACAAATGGTTTGATTTGAGGGAGTCCCCCAATAAGAATCGTGAGTTAAAAGAGCCGCTTTCCAGCTGTGTGCTTCAAGCACGGTGCAGCACAGTGTTCTGTGTTTGAAACGCAAAAGTTAGCAGCTTTCGAAGCGCAGTACGGCTGGAACACGAACACGCGCTTGAAGCATTTGCGCGCGCAAAAGCTCGATTGCGTCAGCTGGAAAGCGGCTCAGGATTGCTCATCATCATAAGGCTTACCTTCGCCAATTTCCGAGTCGATAGGGCCTGCGAGTGACGTCACCACTCTTAGCTGCATATAGCAGCTTATAGTGGTGACGTCACCCGCAGGCCTCAATGAGATACTTGCAATTAATAAAACAAAATATGAATCCTTTCAACAGCGAAGATACTCAGAGCAATGAATTGTTTAATATTGCTCTGGACGAGCAGCATCGAAAGAAGTGACCGATTTTTTATTAAATGTCGAAAGAACTGGCCGTTGTTTAAGAGAAAAGTTTATTTCTGAATGTGCTGAGTCTGATGATCGATTCGAATTAACTATTAAACAAAATAAAATACTGAATTTTGCTACTTCAACTCAGAAAAGATTTGTCTCGATGAATAATAAAGTTCAAGAAGTACGACTGCAGCGTGACTTGTTCGGCCGAATGTTAGCCATTTCAATCAATGACAATGCTAATGTTGAAAAAATTTTGACTTATCCTCTAACACCTGTTCCAATGTGTATGTGTCACTTGGATGGATCCATATATAAAACAGATAAATCTGTTTTGTTGAAGTCGTTGGAAAAAGATGTTAAAAGTACAGCCCCAAGATACACTGACATTTGTTTAATAGACGGATTCTTTCTCATACATTGTATCAAGGATTTACCAAAAACATTCGGAAGCATTTCCAAAAATATACTTCAAATGGTGACTAACAATGCAGCCCGTGAAATTCATGTAATTTTTGATAGATATTGGTCACTATCTATCAAAGATTACGAAAGATCTCAGCGAAGCGGTTCCTCTGGTAATCGCATGTAAGTACGTGATTTCTGGGCCTGAACAAGCAAGACCATCAGACTTCAATAAAGAACTCCGAAATAGCTTTTTCAAAGAGGCACTGGTGAAATTTTTAATCATCAACTGGCAAAATCACGAATTAATTCCATTCTTTCAAAATAAAAAAGTGCTACTCAATTTTGACAACTGTTATCAATATGAAGCTGTGAATGGAAGCATATTATTTTCAAAAAATGATAAGTTTACTCTCGATTTGCATGAAGAAGCGGATTCAAAAATTGTATTTCATGCGTGCAATATCGAGTCAACAGCGAACATTCTAATAAAATGCTCAGATACGGATATTTTAATTATTATGTTGGCTAATATGATTCACGTACAACACAATAGCAAAGTTTATATTCAAACAGGGGTTTGGAATAAGCAACAAATAATTGACGTATCGGCGTTGCATGAAAAGTTAGGCGAGATAATGTGTCAATCTCTGCCAGGATTTCATGCTCTAACTGGCTGCGATTTCAATCCCGCATTATTTCGTAAGGGAAAGCAACGTCCTTTACAGATCTTAAAGAAAAATGCAGACTTACAAAAAGCATTGGATCAAATTGGACATGAAGACTGTGATGAAACCGCTGTTTTCCCGATTCTTGAAAAGTTCATCTGTAATTTGTACAACTTTCCGTTGTTGAGCTCCGTAAATGATGCGCGATTCACCTTATTTTTAAAAATCTATAAGGTCAACCATTTGGATGAACCTTTCCAGAAGAAAAAAAAATACAGAATTTTGACTCATCCACTTTACCTCCTAGCCAGGCTGAATTAACGCAGCATTTATTGAGGACCAAATATATTGCTACAATATGGAAAAATGCTCATAAGAAAATTCCATCACATTTACTACCAGAAAATTGCGGATGGATATTAGTAGAGGAAAATTATCAATTTAAATGGTTCGACGGACCACAGCTGCCTAGTACAATACAAGATATTATTGATACTGGAACAAACGAAGGTAATATATTTTTCCACAAAACATATAACTTTTCTTTTCTATTAAATGTCTAAAACTTACTTTGCTTTCTGCTTTGTTACAGGGGATGAAGGCCTTAATGCAGAAAGCGAATCAAATGAAGAAGAATATGGCGATAGCGAAGGAGATATCACGTCCGAATCGGATTCCGATTGCGAATGTGACTAAAAATGTTGATGTGCAGCGCACTTTTTAACGTCGTCTGCCACGGCATTAGCCCTCATTTTTTTGTCTGCCATTTTGTAAATGGCATTTTCAATGTTTAAACTTTAAAATACAATAATTGGAATTCATGTACCTTATGATTTTTTTTTATTAATTTTTGCATTCTTTAGCGCGATCTGCCGGCGAGTTAGCCCCTTGCAAAATATCTGCCAATTTTTTTACACTTTCTCAAATATGAAACCAAACTTTTCCCGTAAATAGAATCCCTGTACCTTTTTTCCCACCCAAAATTCACCCCTTTCACTACGTACCCCCTCTTCGCGCCCCAGTTTTGCAATGGCAGACATTCATATTTATATTCGCCTACACTGATACTATTATTTTCAATATAAATTAGCCATGTACCTGATGCGGGCACTTTCATGTAGCCAGCTCTTAGTCCATGCCGCCATTTCGGCTGGGTTAATAGTAGCAACTTAAAACTTCGGGGATATAATCTCAATGAAAATAGCTACCAAATGACATATCACACTCGACCCCTCTTTCCATTTGAAATTTTGGGTGTACCTGTTACCCCCACTTAGGGGTTCACAGGTAGGATGTGAAAATACCAATAAAATGTGTCCCCCAAAAAACAAAAATTGACGTGTCTGAGCGATTTTTGATTAATCACCTAACACCTGAGAAAACCTGGGTGGAAAGTTTTTCGTGCCCCACCCGGTATATGGGATGGTGCAGTACGATGATGTTTCATTTGCGGTTATTATTTGAATTGTTGACATTACATTTTTGGCGGGTTTTTAGCAAGTTGTTAATTTTTTTTAGCAGTTTTTTTGGTATTATGAAGTAAAAAAAGGGCCAGAAAATTATGGATACTTATTCAGATTCTTTTTCGCTAAGCATAAATCATCAAGGTTCGGATTACCAAATACAGGTTGGAGACTAAGGGTCGGTATTTCCAGTGGCGTAGCTAGGCGTAGGGAGCCTCGCAAAAAATAAGTTACCGAACCTAAAAATTGACAATTTTCGATTTTCCAAAATAAAACGTAGAGAACAAATAAACCTAATCCTATACGAATCTTCTAAATATCATAGATTTCGCTAGAACTTATCAATTCTGCTGCAAATTAACCTATAGAACTCTTAAGTCATATGGTTTCTATTTTTTTCGGTAGATTGTCGGGAAAAAAATAATATTTTTGACTAAATAAGTATTGTTATCAAATAGCATGCTTACTACTACCTACTACTAATAAAGCATGCTCGGAGGAGATTTTACATAGTATACCATGTAGAGAGCATCGATCTATAAGCTTCGCCCTCCAAGGCCAGTCCAGCTTTGGTACAGTATAAAAATGTCTGTAATGAGGTATAGAATGCAATCAGCAGTGCGCATAATGGGGTATAGTAGGTAATCGCGTTATACGCTCACAAGAGTCGCACGCGGGATAACTATTTCAACCTATAACAAACCTGTATTTGGGCATTCAGAGTATTTTTCAAATAACTGTCACGTCGGATAGTGGACTCAGTTATTTTTTAAATTTTGATGTCAATTTGTGCATTGCATCCCTTTTTCCTGTTCCGCAAATCAGAACTGCCCTTTTTCTGTGCATTCTTGTTAAGGTTGTTATGCTGGACTTCGACAGACGGAAATTTTGCGAAAAGCTAATTTTTGTATATTCAGGGCTGGTATTTCAATATTACCTTAAAATCAAGACTTAACTAAGGTACCCTCAATGTTAAGGTGAACATGAAATCAATTCATTCAGGTGGCTTAAGATCCACCTTGATTTAAGTGAACTTTGATTTACGGTGAAACTTTTATTAAGGAAGACTTAACGTTATTCTGTACCTTAAGGGAACATTGAAATACCGGCCCTCCTAATTATCCAGTTTGTATATGTATCGGCACTAAGCTTTCCTATAAAACTCTCAACTTCTGCAAAATCACTCCTCATCATTATTTGCATCTAATTAGAGCCTTATATTCTTGACAACTTTCAAATTCCGAAATTCCTATTTCTACCTCAGGTTGTAATTTTTTTAATTAAATTTCCTTACCTACTCTGCTCACCCATCTTGCTTTGTCTTCACTTCCAACACTCGCACACTAAATGAAAATGAACGATTGTATGCATGCGAATCGTGGGTTCTAGAACCCCTGGATAGGTACTTTCGGAGGTGTCATGCTGTCTCATTCCATTCCATCTCCTTTTGCCGAATGCCGCGTTTCTGAGAATCCTACTACAAACTATACCGTAATTGGCGCCCTAACTACATTCTATACTGCATTACAGATATTTTCAATACTGAACCAAAACTGGACTAGGCTTGGAGGCGGAGCTAATAGACTCGATGTTCTCTACATTCTACATGGTATAATATGTAAAATCACTGCTCGGAGACAGGGGCGTGACACCTGCCGGTGGCTACCCGTCCCAGCTTCTTGTCACAAGAAATCCTATGGCCACCCCACCCTACATAAAAAGGGCCTCGCAATTCAGATGTCGCCGACGTCCACGTTTGGTTTCGCTACGCCACTGGGTATTTCAATGTCACCTTAAGGACCGTTAGGTCATCTTTAATACAAGTTTCACCGTATATCAAAGTATCAAAGTTTCCCTAATTCAAGGTAGATCTTAAGCCACCTGAATGAACTGATTTCAAGTTCACCTTAACGTTACCTAAGGATACCTTTGGTAAATCTTGATTTTAAGGTAACATTGAAATACCGGCCCTTAAAAACAGCAAATTTACTTCCTAATGGCAAGTATAAGTATTTATCTGTTTCAATTGATTTCGGTCTCGAAGTCTTTCTTTTTTTTTTCAAAAAGCGACAAATTGGTAGATTTCCTAACAAATCAATTATTTCCGCACTGTCTTAAAAAAAAAACACATCTCCAAATAAAAAGGCAAGCTCTCTCCTCTTTTCCATTTTCCGGCAAGCATGAAATCAAAATTTAAAACATAAACAAATAGCAATAACACAACAGGGGTAACCGCGGTTAATACCAAACGCGTTTAAGCGAATACAATGAAATGACGTGATCAAGTGATCTGTCATCTTGAACCAAAGCGTAACCGCGGTTAAAACCACAAAATGGTGGTTATTCGCTTAAAATTGGCTATTGACACGACTAGTCTAAAAACGAAAAGTACCCAAATTCACTTAAAATGCAATGTTGCCAAGACTCTACAACACTTAGCTAAGCTTGCATCCAACAACTATGGCGGAACGACATTATATTTTAGTGTCCTTTAACTTTCAAGGGCTTCATAGTTAATCAAAGCTTAGTTATAGTTTGGTGGAAATGGCCATAAGGATTGCTTATCGGCTTTGTTTATGGTAATCGTCGCCAGATTGGTGTCACCATTTCTGACGTCATAACTAAATCGTCAGCTGTTTGCACTAGTGGTCGTAGTTTAGAATTTAAATTTATGATGATGAATATTATCTAACTTTGATTAACATAATAGGCAAAGAGAAAGATGGAAACGAGATCTGGAAAAGAATTTATGTTTTGATGTCAATTAATATAGTAAAATCAAGTAAGTATGCATAAAGCAAAAGCCCGCGGAATCATAGCCTGCGGTGCAAACAGCCTACGTCAAGGTGAGAGGGGACATGCTGCTTACGTCACAATTGGTGATTTGGCGTGATGGAGGGCTTCAGATTTGTCCCACATAGGCCTTATGAGGATAGGCTATTCTATATAGTGTGTATTATCTTTGACTAGAGGGTACATCAACCTCCCTATTATAAATATTGACAGGTCGTTCAATTTCCTAATTTAAAATAACATTTTTCTAACCGTTCGTTTTCAAGTGGCATTTTCGATGACGTCATCATTTAACATACCGCTACTAACCGTTCTGTAACCCGGTTAGTTTAAACCGGAGCCACGTGAAAAGGACAATATACCAGCTTTAATTTTCGGACTGCTCACCATACATTGATTGTCATTTGTGAAGTCATGTCAATTAAGGTAAGTCATATCCATGTCATTTAATTCTGCAACGATTGCAACTATACACATGGTAAAACAATTTATTAGAAAAAGACTCCTTAATTAAGTAGATAGGTACGTTTTCTGATAGATAGTGAGATCGCGAATAATTGAGATCCCTTGTAGATTGAATTGAAGGTAACTAAAATAAGTTATAATTATATTGATATGATATGACAAAAGTGATACCTAATCTGCAGGGCAAATTGCAATGGAAGGTAAAATGCTGAAAGTAAACTCCGATTTAATTTCTGCAGTTTGTGGAGGCGACCTAGAAACATCGAGGCAGATGATCGATTCTTTTGGGCTGTCATACTCACCATCATGGGCGAACGGATATGTTTTGCTTGTGCATGCTCTCAAGAATAACCATGCAGCAGTTGCCAAACTACTTTTAACGAAAGGTGCTAAAGTAAACAGCAGGAATAGTGAAATATTCCCTACCGATACTCCTCTTCATCTTGCTGTTATGAATGGCAACATTGTAATCGTTGAAATGATTCTAAACAATAAAGGTGTCAAGATTAATGCTAAAAATTCATTTGATGAAACTCCACTTTACCATGCGATTGAAAAAAGAAAAATGAAAATTACTGAATTACTCATAAAACATGGACCGATGTCAATTATACTTCTTCAAAATGGTATGAAGGTTATACACTACTTCATCTTGCTGTTGAAAAGGGTAGTAAAGAAGTTGTTACGTCGCTTTTAAGTAGAGGTGCTACTGTTGATGCTAAAGGAAAAGATAATATAACCCCTCTTCATGTTGCTGCTCAAAAATGGAAAGATTTTGATATACATATTGCCAAAGATCTTCTAAACCACGGTGCTTCTATTCATTCATTAACATTGGAAGGATATACTCCACTTCATTTTGCTTCTGAACGAGATAATGCAGAAGTTGTGAAATTATTCTTGGATCTGGGTGCTGATATTAATGCTAGCACAAAGGATAATTTAACCCCACTCCATGTTGCTATTCGAAACCAAAGTTTAACAGTTGTAAAACTGCTCTTAGAATGTGGCGCTAAAGTTGATAATCAGGACACTGACAAATCCATACTAAACCTTGCTGTTGAAAAAGGATCTTTGTTGATTGTTAGAGAGGTCCTAAAGTATTGTCCTGATATTAATAATGCAAATAACAAAAACTCTCTTGAAATCGCGGTGCGAGAAAAAGGGTATGGACAAATTGTTGAGGCTCTCCTAGAATATGGTTTTACTATACATACTAATAATCCAGAACTTTTACATGCTGCTATTGAAAAAGGATATTTGAAAGTCGTTGAAGACATATTGAAGTATGTAACTGAGGTTAATATGTTACACAATTCAACTAAAGAAGGTTTAACACCTTTACATAATGCAGCCAAAAATGAACAGGGAGAAATAGCTAAATTGTTGATTAGCTACGGAGCTGATATAAATGCTCAAGATAAAAGTGGAAAAACGCCAATATTTTATGCCATTAAAAATGGCGATTTAAAAATTTTCAAGCTACTTTTAACTAATGGAGCTATTGTTAAAGATCATCCTGAGCTATTGAATGTTGCTGTTGAGAAGGAATACAGAGAAATCGTCGAAACTCTACTGCAACATGATGCTGATATCAATGCTTATGATGACTACGGAAGAACAGCATTGCATTTTACTGCTTTAACTTTTAGACATGATTTTAGTTCTCAATTTATTGATAATTTTTTAGACAATAATTTTAATTTCGATAATAGAAATCTTGATGATAATATTAAGGGAGAAATCGCCAAGCTGCTTCTAAGTAAAGGCGCAAATGTAGACGTTCAAACTAAACATGGTGTAACAACACTTCTTGCGTCTACTCTTAAAGGATATGCAAAAGTTGTTGAAGCTCTTTTGGAATACAATGCAAATGTTAACTTGGCCCTGGAAAGTGGTATCACGCCACTACATATTTCTGCTCAGAAGGGAAATCGAGATATTATCACAATGCTTTTGAATAAGGGAGCCAATGTTAATGCTAGAGAAAAAAATGGATCCACTGCACTCCACATCGCTTCTCGAGCAGGAAAAGAAGATATTGCTGAAATTCTTCTGGAGTTTGGCTCTGATATTAATATCACAAGTAGATATGGATTTACACCTCTTGATTCTGCTAGGCAAGGGGCACATTTTTTCCATAATCGATTTACAAGCATTTATGGTTACCACTGTGACACTTATCAGACATGGGAACAACCGGATCCTGGTGATTCGTGTGATGCAATTGCTGAACTTCTTCAAATACACATAATTAAAATGAAAATCGCAAATTTATATTTAAGTGAACGAAATTTAGAACCGATATGGTGCAATAATGAATTACCACCGTCTTTTTGGGATGATTGTGGAGCAGAAATAGTAAGCATGAAAAGTGAGAAGATGGATAATGCTAACATTTCATTTTATGACATTTTGGCAAAAAGTACAAACTCATTAGCAATATACATGAGGAATGAAGTTATAGTTCAGGTTTTGAAATCAGAGGACTACAACACAAAATTCCCAATATACGCAAGCATGATAAAAAGTCATTTTAGGAAAGGTGTGGCAAGGAAAGAGTTAATAGAACAAGGCAATAAAATTTTGCATTTTCTCTTCAAGAACCTTCCTGAGCTACCACATGACTGTATTGAAAAAATATTAACTTACCTGAGTGGCGAGGACTTGATAACTTTAAGGGACGCTTATTGAGAGTCCCCAAGAGTCCTTTACACCTACCTATTATCAGTGATTAGAAAAAAATATAATACATACATACATAAAAATATTTTTATTATTTTCTAAGAAAAATTTGTATTTCATTTGGGTGAAAAATAGCAGAAAAACTATATGATTCAAAGTTACAACATATGAAATTTTTTATCTGTAAATATGTATTGTTAATAGTTATAAAGTACCTACTTATGATGGTTAATATTCCTTTGCCTGCCTCCTATTTGAAAGTTGTTTAGGAAAAATTAATTGTTATTAAACACAATTTTAAATATACTTAGAATTGTAGTGTCTAATGTCTCTCAATATTATATTTAGTTTAGAGATTGGTTTATACATTTTTGTTTATTTGAAATATTTCTAATATGTAGATGCAAATTTTTTCTAGTAGGTACGTTACTATTTTCTATGCCTTAATATATTGTTCAAAATAAATTTATGTTACGTTTTAAATAAAAGTCGTACAAAAATATCACTTGTTTAATTATCACGAATTAGGAATTAGCAATGGAATTATAAATAGAAATTTAAATTAGACGATGCAGCTTTAAAGTACTTGTTATCCCTATAAGAGTCACGAACCAAGAGAGCGATCTTGGCGCTTGTCATACCTTCAAAGGTTCTCCCTAACTAGCGCATGCCCGGAAGGGTAGCATTTTAGTCAGGACCGTGACACTTATGGAGATAGAAAAAAATGGACCCAGGTGTCTGTAGCTCAAAATCAATGACGGAATCAAAATTCTGCTATCTGTAATAGTTTGGCCGCTAGAGGGCGTTCCTCGAATTTTATCGATTTCTTTAATGACCCATAACTTATTTCCTATTACTGAAGATAATTGATTATGGTAGAATGTTTCTCAAGACACGTTTTTATGTAGAATCCCTTGCGATAGAAAGTTTTTATATAAGCTGTTTGGTTTTTTATACGACATCAAACTAATTTTTTTCATACGGACCACCCTATATATTTTGAGGTTTTTAAAACGAGCGTAAAATTTCCTAAATTTTGATATATCACTTATTATATTTATGTTAAATATTATACAGGGTGTACGTTTTTCCAGATCAACCATTGAGATCTTGGAACCGGTAAGAAATACGGGGCCGACCATCAAATTGCGCAACTCTGCCCTAATTAAACAGACCCTGTATTTCTTACCGTTTCCGAGATCCCAATAGTTGATCTCGAAACACGGACACCCTGTATAATATTTACCATAAATATAACAAAGCATATCAAAATTTAAGAAATATTACGTTTTTTTAAAACCTCAAAATATACAGGGTGTACCATTTAAAACGAAATAGGCTAATATCAAATATCTGGATGCCACGTTTAGGACCAACCCTTACCATTTCAAATGGAACAAGGGGTCGAGTGATACTTCTTCTAAAAGAGCGTTCAATTCTCTTTCATTTGATGTCATTTGAAAGAAAATTGAACGCTCTTTTAAAACAGGCACTAGACCCCCTGTTCCATTTGGAATGATAAGGGGCGGTCCCACCCCTCTAGAGGGTTAAGTTAGTGCTGATGTTTGATGTTTCAAGCACTCACACATTCAAATTACATGTGCGAGCGATTTTTAAAAAGTAAAAGTGGTATCAGATATTTAGGCTGTTTCGTTTTAAATGGTATACCCTGTATAGGGTGGTCCGCGTATGAAAAAAAAAATGAGTTTGGTGTCGTATAAAAAAAACCAAACACCCTGTATAAACACTGTCTATCGTAATGAACTAAACAAACACACTGGAACGGTGGCTGCATAATGTTCCTTGACGCAAGGTTTGTGCCAGGAGGGACAACAAACAAGAAGGAGTTGTATCTCTCTCTGCATTATGGCGGCTATTGAGAACAGCTGTTTGAAGTGTTTGGATCATTGAGGTTAGGAAGATGAAGAAGCTCTTCTTTCTTTTACGTTAATCGCAATGAGTGTGAGCGAGACAACAATCCCTCTGTATTGCTGGGTTGCATATATTAAAATTCGGTACACTAGCATAAAGCAGTGCGCCCGTTCCAGAGTGTTTGTTTAGTTCAATGGTCTATCGCAATGGATTCTACATGAAAAAAATTTCTAAGAAACATTTTACCATAATTAATTACCCAATAAGAAGAAATCGACGAAATTCGAGAAACGCCCTATAGCGGCCAAACGATTAAAGATAGCAGAATTTTGTTTCCCCATTAGGCAATTCAAACCACGTGACTTTCAAGATGGCGTGGCGGCCACACATGGGCCAAAAAAACAGAAAAAAATATCTAGAATCTGCTCGATTTATTAGTTTAGGTACCTAGTCAACAAATATTTTATTAAATAGTCCAAATCAAAGTTGCAAGCAAAACTCTAAGCAAAATAATTTGAAATACGCATAAAAACACATTCAAAACAAACTTGCTTGGCCGCCACGCCATATTGAATTACCCTATCTGACAGATGGATTGAATTGCCTTATTGATTTTCTCATTAAATTTGAGCTCCAGACACCTGGGACCATAAAAATAAAGGGTGTTTCCATAGGAAAGTCTCCAATTTGGACCACCCTGTACATACAGAGAAACTATAACATACAACAAAAATGACATTAGGACTACGTTTTTTTATAAAACATGCGGGATACCCTATTTACGCACGGTTGTAAATAAAGATAAAATTTAGGCAACAATCCAATTTTGGGCCTGCGAGTGACGTCACCCGCAGTTCTCAATGGAATGCTCACGATTCAGGCTGTGCTAGTGAGTTAATTTTAAATGCAGAAAAGGTGATTTTCGGTCTGTTCTCACAGAAGAAGTTTAGTGTTCTTGATTCTCGAGTATCCCAGAGTTAGGGGAGTATGACACAATTGACACATCACATACTTATCGCGTGTGACTGAATTCACCAAACTGGTGCACCGCCACAGATGCGGTGATTACGATTCACGATTCACTAATAGGTCTGTTTCTGCAGAAATCACAAATCAGTCCGAGTGAATCTCATTGGTTGAAACTAGTTTTCTGACTGTTTTCAATCAATAGGTCTGTTTCTGCAGAAATCACAAACCAGTCAGGTCGAATTTCATTGGTTGAAAACAGTCAGAAAACTAGTTTCAGCCAATGAAATTCACTCTGAGTGGTTTGTGATTTCTGCAGAAACAGACCTAATGTCAATGCCAAACCACAGCTTGCCAGACCCTGTTCAATTTAACAACACTGCTTTTTCTACCATTCCATCATGGTGCCTACACCAGCTGAATTTAGCCACACGCGGATAATCCAGCATAAACAGACAATTTAGATTATGCTTAATTATCCTCGCGAAAAATTGCCTATTCTCAACTTTCACGGTTACTCTTACCGTAAAAACCTCCTTTTGGAATGAACTCCATTAACTCTATACTTCGTATAGCCGATAGCCGAACGTGAACCTAGTTACTCTATTCACGTAAAAAAACATATTTATTTGAACTTTGAACAGTTGGAGTGGCTACGGAGTGCTTAGTGTATGGGCACGGGAAACAAGGGCACACCATTTGAAATCAATAACCGAACGTACTTTATTGTTTTGAACTTTTGATCAAACTCTTTGATGCATCGAATTTGACGGAGAAAGAACGAGCGCTCCGTGCGAGAATTGAGAGCCTTCTATTGCTCAAGTCGAACACGTGAATCTCGCCGAGAGCAACGCTCCGTTTAAAGCCGAACATGTGAATCGGTTTTGGATCGCATTTTGAACTTAAAGTTAACTTTTTGAATTACTTGTAATTCCAGAAGTTAACTTTAAGTAAACTCAAAGTAGTTTTATAATACCCGCCCTAAGCTAAACATGTGACGAGCTAACTGTCAAAATCTCGTTGGTCACGTTACAATAACCCTTTTCACGTGGCTCCGGTTTAACAAACCGCAACATACCGCTAAAATTCGAGTGGTAGGTATCCATCACGTCACTTTGTAACCGGGTTAAAAAACGGTATGTCATTTCTCTAACCGTTTTGTAACCCGGTTAGTTAAACCGGAGCCACGTGAAAAGAACTAATGGGCACATTGATGGGCACTTTCCAATATTCACCTATAAATTGACTGGTTTAAACCGGTAGCTGTCAAAAAATTCCGGTAAAAGTCAGGTTGAAGTCCGGTTATGAGATCTTTCTGATGCATTTTGGAACGCATGTTGTGTCAAATTTTGAAATGTGGTTGTGTTATTTGTTGTTTGGAATGTTTGATGGAGTGGTGTGGCATCAAGGATATACACATTATTAAGGATTGCTTATCGGCCTGGTTTTTGGTAATCGTCGCCATATTGGTGTATCACCATTGCCGACGTCATGAATTAAGTCGTCAGCGGCGTCAGATGTTTATGCCAGCGGTCGTAGTTTAAAATGTAAATTTATGATGAAAAATATTTTTTTAATTTTGGTTAACATGATAGGCAAATAGGAAGATGCAAATGAGATGTAAAAAATAGTTTTTTTAGGATGTTAATTAATGTAGTAAAACCAAGTATGCATAATACAAAAGCCCGCGAAATCATAAATCATAACCTGTGGTGCTAACAGCCTTCGTCAAGGCGACATGCCGCTACGTCACAACTAATGATTTTGCGTGGTGGGGGGCTTCAGATTTGTTCTACACAGGCCACAGGCCTTATGAGGATAGGATGTGTACCGACTTGTATCATGCGCAGTACGATAAAAAATTATGTAATAAAATTCATCAATGAGGATGGGTATCAATTTCCTAGCACGCCTGCCGAAGTGCCAATTCGCTACCAGATTGATTGAGAATGTAGCTTCTCTATTCACGTAAAAAACCATAATTGAGTACCGTAAAACATCCTTGGAATGAGCTCCATTAACTCTACTTCGTATAGCCGAACGTGAACTTAGTTACTATTCACGTAAAAAACCATATTAGAACAGAGTGCACTTTTAACGAATCAGACAACGGCTGGAGTGCGAACGGAGTCACTCGGAGTGCACGGAGTGTGCAAGCCGAACCCAGCTTT